CAACATTTTATGTTTAATATATCAAAACATTATTTATGCATTTGTAACTGCAGGTTAAATGCATTCATGTCCTGCATTAAACAGTGTGTAAATGCATCTAAATGCCACTTCAGATGCAGCTTCTGTGTTGATTTCATTTGCTTGGTAACAGCCCAAATGTTAATTTAATTAATTAAATTAATATATAAGGAATAATTCCCTGATTAAATGTAAGAATTTCACTCAAAAGATAATGGGACACTTTTATACAAAAATGGCTTTATAAAGGTAAAAATGCCCATAAAATTTAAAAATAAGTTTAAACTTATTGGAAAAGATTCATTTCTCTCAGAATATTCACAGAATATGAAGAATATTAAAAACTTCAGCTGTCCACGGCAGTCCTTAAGATACCAGCACAATAACACACTCAGCAAAATATCATCTAATTATCGTTATCGATATTATATTTTTGTCAATATCGCACACCCCTAATACTAATATAATACCAGCATGTTATGATGAGTATGTTTGTCAGGTTTTTGAGATTTCAGGATGCAGTGGTTATTGCTGGTTTAGAGTGTGGATGTTGGTGAGTTTAAGAAACCGTATCGTAATATCTCTGCACACAGACGGACATCAACCTGCCGTACCTGACGATGGACGCCTCTGGCCCCAAACACCTGAACATGAAGCTGACCCGCGCTCAGTTCGAGGGCATCGTGGCGGATCTGATCCGCAGAACCGTGGAGCCCTGTCAGAAGGCCATGCAGGACGCAGAGGTCTCCAAGAGTGACATTGGAGAAGTGCTGCTGGTGGGAGGAATGAGCCGCATGCCGAAGGTAACCGAAAGACTCTCTAAGGATTTTTTCTACTGGTCCAGTCGGGCCAGTGGTTCAATTTTTTACTCGCCTTGTCAATATTTTCACTGGCCATGCCACAAAAAATGGTATCATTGTTTTTGACCCATGTTATCTTTTATTCTAATAAATAAGCTTATATGACACAGAAATTTTACAATTCTCCATTCCAATTTCAGTACCACAGCAAGAAATGCTAGCCTGACAAATATAAAGTTCAGACCTTATTAAAGACATGAACAGTCAGTAGATAAGAACAAATGAACAAATTACATGCAACAGCACAAATAAACACAACAATGATACAAATTAAAGATGCTTGAGATTTTTATAAGTACAGAAGTTGAAAACTTAAATGTAAAATAACATTGCATATGAATTATGTATGAATTAAATATATAGATTAATCATTGTTAAGCTCATTGTTAACATTTATAAAGCGGAGCGTTTCGGTCCTTGATTCTGATTGGCTGAGCCGCGTTCGAAGCTGTTGTAAATTATTCTACAATGTAACATACACCTTTGTTTACGTTTGTCTGTTGCTCGGCAACCACTTTGTTGCAACCACAACTGTTTCTGAGGAACTACATTGTTTGGTGGAAGAATACTGTGTTTATTAATATTACACTTTATTTGCTGTTTTATTTTGTGAAACCGTACTACGTATATGGAATAACCGTTTTATAAAAGCAGTAAGCCCCGTGAAGCTGTGGTTTACAGTGAATTTATAACAGCTAAGGGGGTTTTAGGCACTCCGCTTCACCCCTTAGCTGTTATAAATTCACTGTAAACCACGGCTTATTGCTTTATAAGGACACCAACAGCAGCTGATAAATTAGGCGCGGTCACTTTAAACACAATTTATGGGTCTAATATATTGTATGTATTTGTCTGTCACTCCATACGGGGCTTGCGCTGTGCACACAGAACACACTGAGTGACTAAGTTATTCACATCTTCTTGTGCTTGAATGTGTTAAAATCGCTTTAATGTTCAAATTGGCAAGGTGTGTTTGTCTGTTATAGTGCAAGAAGAACGCGAGTGCTGAATGGAGTTCTCTTGTCTCTTGCGCTTTGTGTGCTTTTCGCGTCTTCTCATGCTTTTAAATTGACAAAGCTTTAAAAACACGTGCAAATGAATAACTTTCATGAGGACACGGCAGAGGCCCGATCCGTCTACTGTCCTGAAGCGTCTTGATTCCTGCACGTGTGCGTCCTCAGGTCCAGCAGACGGTCCAGGATCTGTTTGGTCGCGCTCCCAGTAAGTCTGTGAACCCAGATGAAGCCGTTGCCATCGGAGCGGCCATCCAGGGAGGCGTTCTGGCCGGAGACGTGACCGACGTGCTGCTGCTGGACGTCACTCCTCTGTCTCTCGGCATCGAGACTCTGGGAGGAGTCTTCACCAAACTCATCAACAGAAACACAACCATCCCCACCAAGAAGAGCCAGGTAAGCTTCTGAAGCTCTTCGTGCTCAAACCTCGTCTTCCTCCTTGCATCGTGGCTGAATTAAGCTTCACTATCAGACATGGCTTTCAGTATCACTGTCATCTTCGATCTCTGAATCAACAGTTTATCTTTATTTTTTTAAGGGTTAGTTCACACCTTATTTGAAACCCTGATAGACTTCTGTCTGTTTCACCCTGACTTTGATGCTTCAGAAAGTTAATAAAGACATCGTAAACATGATTCATATGAATCAAGCAGTTTAAATCAAATCTTTTGAAGCGACATGATCATTTTATATGATGAACAGAATTAATATATGGCTTTATTCACATATACGTGTTGATCAACACACATAAATGGATCTCTTCACATATGGTCAACGGATTGACTGAACTTGTTTGGTACATGAAAACAAACCTTATTGGTTCCTCTGCACTAAGCAGGCACCTGTGAGCTTCTGTCGACCATAATTGATGTGCTTTATGTATGTGCATTGATCAGTGTTAGTATGTGATTATACACAGATTTAATTAACAGAAAAACAGCCTCTTATCTTATGAATCTTTTTGAAGACACCCTTATGTCATATCAAACGCACAAAACTGTTTCATATTTGAAACGCATTCTTTGAACATAGTAGCCTAAATTATTTAATTTTAGGTGATATCACTTTAATAAACCTATGTAGGTAAATATAACAATATTGGTACATATCAATGACCCAATATAAGATATGTGACCCTGGAGCACAAAAGCAGTCTTAAGTCGCTGGGATATATTTGTAGCAATAGCCAACAATACATTGTATGGGTCAAAATTATAGATTTTTCTGTTATGCCAAAAATCATTAGGATATTAAGTAAAGATCATGTTCCATGAAGATATTTAGTAAATTTCCTACCGTAAATATATCAGAGCTTAATTTTTGATTAGTAATATACATTGCTAAGAACTTCATTTGGACAACTTTAAAGATGATTTTCTCAATATTTAGATTTTTTTTGCACCCTCAGATTCCAGATTTTCAAATAGTTGTATCTCGGCCAAATATTGTCCTCTCCTAACAAACCATACATCAACGGAAAGATTATTTATTCAGCTTTCAGATGATGCATAAATCTCAATTTCAAAAAATTGACACGACTGGTTTTGTGCTCCAGGGTCACATATGTTGGTAAACATTTTTTGTCATTTTTTTGAAGCGGTGTTGCTCTGCTCTAATGTGTCCATATGGACTGATATGAACTTTGGTTGATGTTGATGTGCTTCTCAGGTTTTCTCCACCGCTGCTGATGGACAGACTCAAGTAGAGATCAAGGTTTGTCAGGGAGAGCGAGAGATGGCTGCAGACAACAAGACTCTGGGACAGTTCACCCTGGTACAAAACATTCACATGCACCTTTACATGTATGCATTTAGCAGACGTTTTTATCCAGACTTACAGAAGAGGCACAAAGAGCCAGCAACACTCATAATACGCAGTGCTAGGTTTATTAGACATCTAGATTAGGAAGCATGCTAGAGAAGACCATAAACGTGTTTTTTCATATCCAGTCATGGCTCAGATGTTGTATTTATGTGCTGAACAGGTCGGCGTCCCTCCGGCTCCTCGTGGTGTTCCTCAGATTGAAGTCACCTTTGATATCGACGCTAACGGGATCGTGCACGTCTCCGCTAAAGACAAGGGCACCGGCCGAGAACAGCAGAGTGAGTCCAGACAAACATCAATGATATATGCTATTCCCAAAGGAAATCCAGACTTTTTCTTTAATCTTTCACTAAAATATGTGACCCTGGAGTCTTAAGTGTCAATTTTTCAAAATTGAGATTTCTACATCAGCTGAAAGCTGAATAAATGCGCTTTCCATTGTTGTATGGTTTGTTAGGATAGGACAATATTTGGCTGAGATACAACTATTTGAGAATCTGGAAACTGAGGGTGCAAAAAAATCTACATATTGAGATAAAGTCACCTTTAAAGTTGTTCAAATTAAGTTCTTAGCAATGCATATTACTAGTTTTGATATATTTATGGTAAGATATTTACAATATATCTTCATGGAACATGATCTTTACTTAATGTCAACACTCATAATACGCAGTGCTAGGTTTATTAGACATCTAGATTAGGAAGCATGCTAGAGAAGACCATAAACGTGTTTTTTCATATCCAGTCATGGCTCAGATGTTGTATTTATGTGCTGAACAGGTCGGCGTCCCTCCGGCTCCTCGTGGTGTTCCTCAGATTGAAGTCACCTTTGATATCGACGCTAACGGGATCGTGCACGTCTCCGCTAAAGACAAGGGCACCGGCCGAGAACAGCAGAGTGAGACAAAAATCAGTCAAAATCAATGATGCATGTTGTTCCCAAAGGAACTCCACACACTTTTTTTTTTTTTTTTTATTTTTCACTAAAATATAACTTCAGAAATGACTTTGACCTGTGTTATGAGGGGTAATGTGAGCTAGTTCTCCAAGAAAAGATGGTTTAGTCATTGCTTTAGGCCACTGTTGTGTAGTGACTGCAGTAATGCAATATGACTGCAAATTACAACATCTTTGAAAGATTTTATTTTTGAAGATGTCCACTGCAACCTCGCATTCAGCTCGACTCCTCTCTAGTATGCAATGTCCACTTTTACAGTCCCAAAAATGTTGCATTTAAGTTGTCTTTATGAAAAAAACATTAATCTCATATTATTTTATGCATGTTTCGTTCAGTTGTCATCCAGTCATCTGGTGGACTCGGCAAAGACGACATTGAAAACATGATCAAGAACGCTGAGAAGTACGCAGAGGAGGACCGGAGACGGAAGGTAGCATCTCGATTCATGTCTGCGAATGTGACCCTGGAGCACAAAAGCAGTCTTAAGTCGCTGGGGTATATTTGTAGCAATAGCCAACAATACATTGTATGGGTCAAAATTATAGATTTTTCTTGTATGCCAAAAATCATTAGGACATTAAGGAAAGATCATGTTCCATGAAGATGTTTTGTAAATTTCCTACTGTAAATATATCAAAACTTAATTTGATTAGTAATATGCATTGCTAAGAACTTAATTTGGACAACTTTAAAGATGATTTTCTCAATATTTAGATTTTTTTTGCACCCTCAGATTCCAGATTTTCAAATAGTTGTATCTCGACCAAATATTGTCCTCTCCTAACAAACCATACATCAATGGAAAGCTCATTTATTCAGAAAAATTGACACTTAAGACTGGTTTGTGCTCCAGGGTCACAAATGATTCACAATCACAGTTCTGCTAATATGCGATGTCACTATTTGAAACCGCATTAGACGTGGTCTTATTTGTCGCACCTTAAAACCTGTTGCAGTGTCTGAACTGATTGATCTCGGTTTAAAGGATCGCGTGGAAGCGGTTAACATGGCCGAGGGCATCGTTCACGACACCGAGTCAAAGATGGAGGAGTTTAAGGATCAGCTGCCTGCCGATGAGGTCTGACTGCTGTCTGAGGAGCTCAAACGCCGGTGTTTTAGAGGTGTTTTAGAGTGTGAATGTTTGTAATCTCTCTCTGCAGTGTAACAAACTGAAGGAGGAGATGGCTAAAGTGCGAGAGCTGCTCTCACGGCAGGACGCCGAGACGGGAGAAAACATCAAACAAGCGGCCACAAACCTGCAGCAGGCCTCGCTCAAACTCTTCGAGATGGCATACAAGAAGGTCAGTTCACTCGTTTTACTCTAGTAACCCCCTTTTTAACATTGCTTTCTGATTAAGAGCTGCCGAAGCTTTTGAGCTTAGTTTGACCTGCTCATATTTTGCCTTCTGACGAGCTTTCAGGACATTTCATGTGCTATGGAAGAAATGCACTGCATTGTTTATATTGATCCAAACATTGAGCTCTTGCTGTCAAACAGTGGACTGGTTTGAAAGAGCATTACAGTTAATAACAATATTAATAATTCATTACATTTATATAGCGCTTTTCTATCACGATTATATCCAATTTATTTTGTGCATTTTTATTAAATTATATAAGCAGGCTACTTTTTAAAATAATTACAAATTAGTAATAAATCAACACGTTTGTTAAGAACTTAACCAAATAAATATAGCTTCAAAACATGCAAGCAAATATAAAGTAATAAAGTGGAGAAAGGCAATTGCAAGTGATAAACAAAAAGTACTTTCCGTATCTGAGAGTGCTTTGAGCGTCCGAAAGTTTACAGACGATCATAGTTATGGATAAAAAAATGTTTCCCTCCGCATTATTACTGATGAGATCATAGACAGTGGCAGCTTTAATAGATCTGTGCATTAGTGTGAATGCAGTCTGTTTCCACACATCAGATGCTTTGTCCTGCTCTGAAAACATAACTGACTGTTTACATCAATTTCCTACCATTAAAGTATTCAGAGATGCATTAACCGCAGCCGCGATCCAGCTTCAGGACAAACACACACAAAGCAAACGTGAAAGTCTCAGTATGTGAGTTTCGTGCATCTAATACGCGCTGCACACCAAACGGCATCAATGAAAGCACATTTAAAGTAAAACACTGAAATAACTGCGGGTGGATGCACTCACTGTCAAGCTTGGTTTTTCCCAAATGTTCCCTGATCACGGATTTAAAAATAGTGGGTGCATTTTTTTTAATACTCTCGTGACAAGTGCGTATGCGAACGACCTCAGTAGGCTTTAATGGATTATGGTCTTATCACTGCATCGATGCAGAATCATCCACATCGCGATGCATGGGTTAATTTCAACACCCCTAACAGAGAATCAGGGCCTTGTTTAACGTCTCATCCGAAGGACGGTTTGGGATGAGCATTGCAGTTGTATAATATAATAGTGGTGGTAGTAGTATTAATAATAAAGACATTTATTAGTGTTGAAGTTTAGTAAAACATATGTGAGCCTGGAGCACAAAAGCAGTCTTAAGTCGCTGGGGTATATTTGTAGCAATAGCCAACAATACATTGTATGATTTTTCTTTTAAACCAAAAATCATTAGGATATGAAGGAAAGATCATGTTCCATGAAGATATTTAGTCAATTTCCTACCGTAAATATATCAAAACTTAATTTTTGATTAGTAATATGCATTGCTAAGAACTTCATTTGGACAACTTTAAAGATGATTTTCTCAGTATTTAGATTTTTTTTTGCACCCTCAGATTCCAGATTTTCAAATAGTTGTATCTCAGCCAAATATTGTCCGATCCTAACAAACCATACATCAATGGAAAGCTATTTATTCAGAAAAGGTGTATAAATCTCAACTTAAAAAAACTGACCCTTATGACTGGTTTTGTGCTCCAGGGTCACATATAGGTTATGTAGAAGCATTGTCTGAATTTGACCTGAAATACTGTATCTTGTACACTTGATGCATTGTAACATTATTTGTGTGCAGTCTGTCCCCTGATGACTGGAGTAATATTGACTGTGCTTGTGTTTGTCAGATGGCATCGGAGAGGGAAGGCAGCAGTGGCTCCGGCTCCGGAGGAGAAACGGGAGAGAAGAAGGAGGGCCAGCAGTAAAGCCTGAGAGTTTGATATGGACTGAATGGTTTGGGAGCATGAACGTGTTTCCCTGAGCGGCATACACACATTATTTTCACACATACTGTGTTTTACAATATCATCACGGCTCCTCATCCACCTCCCTTAATGTCTAGGAGTTCAAATTCATTCATTGTGTCTGCTGGAAATAATCTGCATCGGTCTTGAAGCGAACTGTGCAAGCGTTTGATCTGGGGTTTAAGGTGAGCGTGTGACTCGAGCCATTCAGACATGCATTCCTGCCTGCGGGCACCGTGTGGTGTGACCTTCTCAAGGTGTCTTCGATAAGTGTGGTTTTTTTGGGAATGAATGAGGCTGAATGTGTGGCTGAACGGCTTCAGGATGTCTATATCTGCAGCGAGTGTGTATAAAAGCAGGGCTACTTTGTTTCAAGACACCAATGTTTCATATTTAAATGACATCTGTTCTGTCCATCTTGTAAGCTTGTGCACATGTTTACGCTGAGAGGATGAAACTATGAAAGATAATCAACAATATGATGTGGAATTGATTATAATTTGGCTGATCGTACCAGCATTGAGAATCAAGCAGGGTTATATAGAGCGCACCTCTACAACAATACGGCTCTGTGTCCTTCTTTAAAGTACACTGTAAAGGGCAGGTGAGGTGAATTCATCTGATCTACCTTTACTAGTGATTTCAGCTCGTTTTATTTAAATCAGTGATGTTGTGTTATGATTGTGAAGGATTACGTTCTGTTTGTCTCTTAACAATCCCAATCTCCTCTCTGCTTTTCTTTTTCTGCCTCTGTACAAAGGCTGATGTCTGTTGAAGATGTTAAATGTTGGAATCGAATGATTTAATAGGCTTAAAGAGAGTAATATTCCAGTGCAGTCTTTTATAATAAAATTGTGTTTGAACTCATATTTGTGTGTTTTCCAGGTTAACTCTGTTTTGAATGTCTCCGTGTTGGAGGAGCTCCAGGATCATAACTGCATTTCTTGTGCTTCTTGCTAATATAACTGTGGGTTATGATCAAAATGATCTGCTCTCTGTAATCAGCTGGTGTTTGACATTTGGCGTTGGATAGAAGCACAGGTTAAATGAACCCTTTTTGTCAGCCCTTTGAGGTAAAATATTTGCTTTAAGTACTCCTTGAGGTTTTAAGTTAATATTTTAAATATAAACCACATATTTGCATGCAATATAATAATTCATAACTCAAAAATATATTACTTTTGTAATACAGTTGTCACTTAAATAATTGTTTATAATTTTTGAACATTTAATTTTATGATGCTAGTATGCCTACAATTCTTAACTTCAGTTGATTCTTCTGGTAGAATTGTAAACAGAATTTCTACTTTCTTGCAATTTATTGTTTTGTCACGGAATAAACTTTTTATTTCACAATTCTGAGTTTATATATTACAATCGAACGTTTTTTTTTTTTTTTTTTTTTTTTATATACGAGTTTATATCTCACCGTTTGGACATTTCTTCACACAGAATTTATCTCTCACAATTCAGACTCTTAGAACAGCGAGTTTATATCTCGCATCTAAGCATGAGAACAAATCTGTGTTTACAGTGAAATATATTATTACTCCGGTTTCCAGATTGGGCGGTCCTTTTTAATAGTTAATTAAAATGAGCGTTATCCAGTAAGTCGCAAACGCAACACTCAAACCTGAGCCGCAGAAACGATTCCTAACGAGGTTTTCGCGAGAGAAAGAAAGGGCTTTTATTTTGAAGCCGAGCTGCTGCGACTTCCGGCGGATCAGAGTGCGCGAACGCGGTTTTGAGCACTGGTCGGAGAGGCGCGAGGACTTCAGAGGCGGTGAGCACGTCTAAAAACTCGTTTCATAAGTTTTATCATCGCGTTATGGCTTACATGAAGACTCGTGTTTGCTCTGGTGTCCGTTTTCTGTGTAAAACAGAAGTTACGGGTGTGAAAGAAATACAGGAAATACTTGTCTTTGGGCGCGTCTGATAATGTGTGACTGAAGCGCGACGCGTCAGAACGACAGCGCTCACGCTGCAGCCTGCGATTATTATTATTATTATTATTATTATATGAAAAGTGCGTTCGTGGCGTGACTGTTTTACATAAATTAGCAAAGCATCCTTACACACTACAGTAGTGAAAGCAAAAACACTGTTACCCGTAATAACGACAAGAACCGTAATTGCAATGTACAGTAAACTACTGATTGTAGTAATATTTTGATTATTATAACGGGTAAGTTGTGCTTCAGCGTCGTGTGAAGTGTAGACGGGTGTTTGGACAGTCGCCGCTAATAGCAGCTAAGCAATGTCGGTCTGAGAAGGCTGTTTCCGAAATCAAGTAACTTGTTAAATTACATTAACACATCGTTAATAGCATGCGTTGTGTAAAGGACTTAAATATGAATACGAGACTTGTTGTCTAACTTATGAAGTGTTTGATAGCTAATCTAGCGGCTAGCGTTAGCAGCTTCCGCAATAACGGAGAGATTGTGACACTTCACTCACCTGAGAGTCTTCAGAAATCAGTGTAATATGCTGATTTATTATCAATGTTGGAAACCGTTGTGCTGCTTCATATTTGTTTGGAACCCGTGATACTTTTTTCAGGATTCTTTGATGAATAGGAAGTTAAAAAGAACAGCATTTATTAAAAAGTTCAAAAGTTTGGGGTCATTATTTTTATTTTTTTGAAATCACTTAATGCTTTTTTTCAGCAAGGATGTGTTGATAAAAAGTGATGATAAAGACTTAGCCTATATTGTTAGAAAAGATTTCTATTTGAAATAAGCACTGTTTTTTTATTTTATACATCAAAGAATCCTGGAAAAAAGTATCACAGGTTCCATAAAAAATTTAATTAAATAAATATTAAGCAGCAAAACTGTTTCCAGCATTGATCATTAATCAGCATATTAGCATGATTTCTGAAGATCATGTGACACTGAAGACTGGAGTAATGATGCTGAATATTCAGCTTTGCATCACAGGAATCAATTATATTTTAAAGTATATTAAAATAGAAAACCATTATTTTAAATTGCAATAATATTTCACAGTATTACTGTTTTTTTCTGTATTTCTGCTCAAATAAATGCAGCCTTGATGAGCAGAAGAGACTTTACAAATCTTACTGATCCCAAACTTTTGAGCAGCAGTGTATTTTTTGTTTCCATCATGATCGTTTGGGTTTAGTTCCACTGGCAGCACCAGCGGAGATCCTGGAAACTTTTAATCAGAATTTTTTTTTACTGTGATTTGAAACGCAAGGTCAATGTGATTTCCTTAGTGTAAACTTCTATTAATTCTTCATAATAAAGCACAAATACATCTAAAGTTAGAACTTAATCACCATGTTTCTGGCAGGAAATACCATACTTACACCGTTTATTATTCTTATTGTTTGTAAGAAATTAATATGTGATATTGAAAAAGCTTTCGGAACAGTTGTGTTACTTTGCTGAACCCTCATGTTGTGTTCTGGTCATTTTGACCCAGAGAGGATTTTCTTTTCTTTTATTAAATGTTCTTTTTTGAAAATGCTAGTTAATGTTATCACATTAGACTAAAACATACTGACTTTGCTCACATAAGGTAATAACAGCTTCCTAACATATTTATAATTTTATGCTTTTGGGATTTTTTCCCACCTTGTAACACTTGTGGTGTTCCCAATCAAAAATGACCAGCCTACAAAAAAATTGCTTATAAATATCTCATTATGCAATATTATTTACCACATATTGGGTTTAATCTTTTTGTCAACACATTTTCTTTCAATTAGCACAGGTCCAAAAATAAATAAATAAAAACTACGAAACCTGTGCCAATTTAAAGAAAATGTGTTGACAAAAATATAAAGCCCAATATTTCACAATAATGCAGCATAATGAGAGATTTCAAGCAGTTTAAAAGGCTGGACATTTTTGACCTGAAACACCAAATAAGGTGGAGGATTTTCAACACGGCACACGGGATAATATCTTTTTTTTATGACAGCACAGTGCTGATACCAAATAACAAGAGTTTTTCTATCATAGTCATAATAACTGTTTTGGTAGAAACGGTGCTTTTCACTTTTTAAAGGGTTAGTTCACCCAAAAATGATAATTAGCCCATAAATTACTCACCCTCAAGTCATCCTCACCGGCGCATGCGCTACGCTGAACTCATACGTCATCCGCCTGGAGCTGCTTCCGTGTAGTAGGACTGTTGGCGCAAGCTACATTAAAGTGATTATTACGTTTTGAATATGGATATTTTTCTTACAAAAACGCATTGATTCGCTACAGGAGGCCTTTGTTCACCCCCCGGAGCCGTGTGAGAGACTTTTAATTATGGATGCATGCGCTTTATTTCACTTCTTTTGGACTGATGCATGCAACACCCGCTGACTGCAATGATAGAGCTTGGAATAGCCAGGACAATTTTTAATCTTCGTCTGAAAGAAGAAAGTCATATACGCCTAGGATGCCTTGAGGGTGAGTAATTCATGGTCTAATTATCATTTTTGGGTGAACTAACCCTTTAAGCAGAGTACAGAATGCATCAGTCTGTTTCGTGCTCTGTCTGAAAGCCTGCTCTTGGCCGCAGGTGCCACTGCCGTGAGGACGCAAAATGCAGACTATTAAGTGTGTGGTGGTGGGCGACGGGGCGGTGGGCAAGACATGCCTCCTCATCTCCTACACCACCAACGCCTTTCCCGAGGAGTACATCCCCACCGTGTTCGACAACTACAGCGCTCAGATGAGTGTGGACGGCCGTACGGTCAGCCTCAACCTGTGGGACACGGCGGGGCAGGAGGAGTACGACCGCCTGCGCACGCTCTCCTACCCACAGACCAACGTCTTCATCATCTGCTTCTCCATCGGCAGCCCCTCGTCTTTCGCCAACGTGCGGCACAAGTGGCACCCCGAGGTGACCCACCACTGCCCCAGCGTTCCCATCCTGCTGGTGGGCACTAAGAGGGATCTGCGCACGGATTCGGAGACGGTCAAGAAGCTGAAGGAGCAGGGCCTGGCACCCACCTCTCACCAGCAGGGCGGCGCTCTGGCCAAGCAGATCGGCGCCGTCAAGTACCTGGAGTGCTCTGCATTGCTGCAGGAGGGAGTGCGGGAGGTGTTTGTGGAGGCCGTGCGCGCCGTGCTCTACCCCGTTACCAAAAAGAATACCAAGAAGTGTGTGCTCTTATAGTCGGCCGAGACGGAGATGAACTCATAAACAAGATGTACAGGGGCCCAACCTGGTCTCATCTCACTTTCTCGCTCTTTAAGGACTTTCTGATTTGGTTTCGCTGACTACTTCATGTCTCATTCCCTTGTAAACCAGTCTAAAGTTGCTTGCCTGTTTTTTGTTGTTGATTAATAAGTTTGTTGCCAGATCCACTTAATGAAAGATAAGGATCGTCCGTGTCCGTCGGGAGCCTGTAGGGATTTCTACTGCCTTGACTCGCGGCGTCCTGTGCTTTTAGATAAAGTGCAATATAATGAAGACTGAATGAGGTCGACACATCAGACTTACGGTTATAGATGTCCCAGACAAATCTTTGATGTGCCTTCAAAATGATTTTTTTTAAAATGCGCATATGTTTAATCCATAGCTGTTCAGCAATATTTCGACAGGTTGTGTAAAATGGATTGTTTGGGTTGCACTGATATGTGTGAATTTCATATAGAAAAGGTTGAATTTTACTCCAAAATCTAAAGAAAAAAATAATGATACTTTCCATAAAGAAATTAAATCTTTTTAAAGAGCAATAAAATCCAATAATGCAAAAAAAAAAAAGGTAATTTCCCACAATGCAAGAAAGAAATATCTCCCAGACGCAATGACTGATTTTTAAAATATATTTATAGTTCAACAAATACTGTAATGCTGTACATTTCCAATTATATTTTACAAATGCAAAACATCTTAA